GAGCGCGGCGACACCAGCATCTCGCCGTCCACCGGCCAATCAAAGCGGTCTTCGACCTCGCGCGACTTGGATCCATTGGCCAGCGACCAGGCCCAGCGGCCGCATGCACAGCAGCAGCACCAGCAGCACCAGCAGCACCGCAAGCATCCCCAGCAAAAGCATCATGTCGGCGGCGGCGGTCGATTACACGCTCGCGTTCCCTCCTCCAAAGGCCTCGGTCTCATCAAGCAAACCGCCTCCTCGACCAAGCTGACCCGCCGTATCACTTCCCCCTCTCCCGAGCGTCACACAATCGCGCCCGCAACGCTGACGTCGTCCTCCAATCTGACTCTCAACCACCATCGCAAGCAGTCGTCCGACTCCAAGCTCGCTCGCGACTCCTCTACAAATCTCAAAAAGAACGCGTCCCAGACAAGTCTCAAGCGCAATCGCTCCCACGTCGACGTCACCAAGCGCAACAAGTCCTCGGGCCAGCTCAAGCGCTCCGCCTCGGAAAAGACCGTCACCACAAAGCTCAGGCCCTCCAAGTCAGCCGTACATTTTGATCTCGGTAACGACGGCCAGCTCGACCAGGACGAGGAGGACAACGAGTGGGTCGACGCCAGCAGCTCGGCCTCTCCCTACCTGTCTCGTCGCGGGTCCGTCATTGCAAGCGGCTCTTCGTCAGCGCAGGCGCAGGGTAGTCCGGCGCATGGTGTCGGAGGCAGCAGTGGTACAGCCGTAGGCGACAATGACGACGACGACAATGGTGACGAGGAACCAACTCCACTAGCCGAACCGCACAAGGCCCTATTCAGCGACCCGTTAGAACACAGCAGGAACTTGACTTCGAGGCTGCTGCAGCGTACACCATCACACAGTGCTACTACTAGTATGTCCAACATGACAGCCATGGCCAAGGCAGCGTCACCCGACAGCAAGCACTCTGCAAGTACACTCTCTGTCACTTCCGCATTGTCTCAACCTCAGGGTATAGCGGGCAGCAACGGTAACGACGAGGTTACATCGCGCTTCATCTCGTCGCAAGAAGGAGGAGGCTCCTTTTACACAACTTCGGGCAACAGCATTTCAGGCAAGCGACAGTCCATGGGCAGACTTCACGGTCCAACAGACACTGGACTCTCAACGGCAACCACGCAGATGCATGACGATGACGATGACGATGACGACGATGACGACGAGGAACTGATCGTCAAAGAAAACACTGGCATCACAAGCGCCATTGCCACCACAGCCCGTTCACGGAAAGAAGGCCGTGTGGCCGCGCCCTCAGAAAAGAGCCGCACCCAGCAGAAGATCAATCTGCAGCGAGCCAGTTCGTCTATGGAGCCTGTACGACACCGGCATTCTGGAATTGGCGGCTTTGCGGCCGAGGTCGCTGAGGTTGCAGGTCCGCTCATCGGGGGCGCTGGCTACGAAAGCCAGGATCCGCGCGTGTACAAGCTCTTGGAGCGTACAGGTGTCGAATACAATATTGTGCGCCGATATCAAAACCCTGTTGCGCGGTCCTTGGCCCGCCTCACTTTGCTGCCTGGCAATGATAAGGCCAGAAGGATACCGCGTGGCACACCGTCGAGCCGTCACTCAGTCCCCAATTTTGGGCTGAGCCAGAGCTTCCACGAGACCGCAAGTTCAAAGAGGCCAGAGACGCCCAAGCGGGCCTGTTCTACTGTTAGACACGGTGCATTGGGCTCGAGTCTCGACACAGATGATGGCGGTGCCGCAGCGGCCAGGATGCATGAGGGAGCTGGCTCTCGCCTCAGCGGAGCGAGCCTTGTTAACGGGGAAGAGGATGAGGGCATTCAGGCTATTTTGCGGAGTATGTGGGATAAGAATCTGACCGAGTTGGCAGCAAGTGCCGAGTGATTGCTCAACACCAAGAGAAGAAGTAATACCGTTAAGAACAAGTCGTTGATACGTCGGCAGAGGTCATGACCCTTTGTCGAATCTTGGAACTACACGGAGAAACAGCAGCCAGAGGATCAAGTAACCCTGGTGGAAAGCTTTTATTTAAGTACGCCGATGCGCATTCGCGTGACCTGGCTGGGAATAGTCATTACACGGGTGGAGGAAAAGCAGAAAGGAATGTTTTGTATCAGTCTCTCCCCCAGTTGCTGCGGTCTATAAATTACAGAGTATCATAATGCTACGACTTGACATACAACAATTGCCTTCTTGATAGATGTGTCTTGTACTCCCATTTTTGTAAGATCGGGTTGTTGCGCAAGCGCAAAGACTGTACGGACATGACCAAAATAAAACCCAATCAATCAAGCTCGGAAAGTCCAGGAAGATAACGGCATGTCCGAGTTGTGATGGGAAATAGTGACAAGAAGCTCGGGATATGATGCAATTGGCAGTTGTGATGCATCGATCAGAGTCCCTGCCAAGATGCTCCGCTCCGGGGCATCATGTCGGATCCGGCCGGCTTATTAATGACCAGGCTTCTAAGCGGTAGACAGGGGTCCGATTCGACTTCACTCTTTCCCGTTGCCGCAGACTGCCTCGGCATTTTCCTCCTCTTGACTTCCAACGCCCGTCCAACCCTCTGATAGTATCTCCCGAAAAATCGAAGAGATTTGCCTCTCGTGTCACACGCCGATCTGTCCACTACACGCAATCACACATACACCACCACACCAAAATGAGCGCCCAGTTGTCGCAACTCGAAGAGGAGAAGAAGCAGTATCAGGAGCAGGTATGGCAAATATTCACCTTGCCTTGCAATTCTTGCTTGTAACACCTCGATATATTGACTACTTGTGGTAACAGCTTGATATTGTCCATCAATCTCTCAACGATGAACCAGAAAATGCCGAATTGCTCGGCCTCAAGGCCGAGCTGGACGAGATGATCAAGATGATCAACGAGTCTATCGCAGACATCGCCCCCGCAGCCGCCACAAAATCCAGTCACTCCGCCGCACAGTCTACCGTCCCGACATCGAAATCCTCAGAAGTGACATCACAGGCCATCGCCGCCGCGCCCGCACAACCAGAAAAGTGGTCGCGAGAGAACCACCCAGCCTTCAAGAAACAAGCGCAGGAAGAGAAGGATCGCGCCGAGGCTGCGACTGCTGCGGCGGCCGCAGCGGCGGCCGCAGAGGCAACACCAATCAATTACGCCGTTAATGATACAGTTCTGGCAAAGTGGTTGTCGGGCGACAAGGGATTCTACCCTGCGCGCATCACGGCTGTCACGGGCAGTAGCACACAGCCCATCTATACGGTCAAGTTCAAGAGCTACGACAATGTTGAAACGCTACGGGGGAGGGATATTAAGCCTGCAACCACCAACAAGCGCAAGGCCGACGGGACTATGGCTTCCACAGCAGGCGGCAGTCTCAACAGCCCCATGACACCGGGCACGCCAATTGGTGGAGCGGCGGGATTCCCAAGTGTTGGTGGTGGAAGCGGTTCCACGACTAGTAACAATGGAATTGTGCTGACGAGTGCGCCGAGCGTATACCCCCATGTAGAAGAGCAGAATGCCGCCGAAGGGGCTGACAAGCCGGTCAAGAAGTTCAAGAAGATCAAAGCCAACAAGGAGCTTGAGAAAGGCAAGAACAAGTGGCAAGAGTTCAACAACAAGGGGAAATTTGGCAAGTCGCAGAAAAAGGACAGCATGTTCCGGACGCCAGATGGTGTCCATGGCAGAGGTGTGTTTTCATCGTCATCATTCCGCTACCAGAATTCGACATTGGTTGGGTGCATTCGCTAACATCGACACTTTGTGTGTCCGACAACGTAGTTGGGTTCACAGGCTCAGGACAGGCCATGCGCAAGGATCCTACCCGGAGTCGTCATATCTACCAACCTAATGAGGACGTTGACTAAGATGCTTTTCTCTGCTACAGAAATCAAATAACGCCTTCGGTCGTCCAGGCTGCTTTCTCCGTATTTTCAACCACGCAACAAACACCTGCTGGGATTCCATGCCATTGCTCTTTTCAGTCTTTTCTCAACAAGCCATCCTGGAAGAGGCTCTTTTGTCGGGACAACACGTTAGGATGGTCATCATTCGAAGCTCTTTCTGCATTTTGCTTGGCGTTTGGTGGTGGTGTTGATGACGTTGGACTGGAATACTTTTCACTCTACGGTAAACGCTCCTCTTGACTTTCCAGACGGAGGCTAACTCGGTCTAGTGGTTGGGTCTCAAGTATTGCGCGTGTATTTTTGGGGCAGCGAATTGTTAGTTTCACCTATCAGTGGCGTTGCTGACGGACAGCCATTTGGTTGGGTCACAATGTCTTGTCAGCACGACCGCAACAGGTCCGCCAGCACCGTCACTGACATCAAGAGGGTATCGGAACATCGAGTTATTCAGTGCTTACGCCTTTTTCGAGACCTGACCACTGAGCACCGTTGCTTTTCGATGCGCCACAATCAAGGCGAGTCACAGGAGTCAATCGTGATGTTCGCCGCATCCTCGGTCGTGGACTTTTTCATCACAGCATTGCAAACAAGTCCTGTTGAGTGATAGGAGCAAAATTCATAGTAGTATAATACAGTACCCATTGTTTTGCTTATATCTTCTCTTCTCTTCTCTTTCCGGTGTGATTTGCTCGCTTGTCAAGTGTCAGATGTTGATTGTGGCAGCAGCTTGCCTGACCGCTCCTGCTCCGCTTTTTTTTTTTTGCTTTTTTGGAGAAGTTTGGCAAAAAGGTATATGCAAGGAGTTCGGTGGTCCTTCTGCCTTTTGGTATGGACCGACATACCAAATCTTTTTCTGCTGAGTATGCAATTCTCTACGGGGGGAAAAGAAGGAAATAGTTCCTTCTGTGCATGGAAGAATACCATGGCGCAAAGCGACACCAGTCCAAAATCTTCGGCCATTGTCCACGTCCTACCTCTGAACGTATACTTTGAAATAAGGCTTATCGACTACTCAAAGCAGAAAACAACAGACCTAGAATCACCCTGAGGAAAACCAAAGCCGAAGACAGACGGAACGATAAAAGAAATGTGCGCGAAAAGAAGTGGAGGAAAAATATGAAAATTCTCTTTCGCCGGGAATTGAACCCGGGTCCCGAGCGTTGTTAAGCTGGTAACTGAAGTAGCTACCAATTTTGACAAGCTCGTATACTGACCACTATACTACGAAAGATGTGTTTCTTGTTAACGTGTGTTAACTGATTCTTGTTGGAAACTGGTTTGGTGGGGGAGGCTATATACACATACTTCTGAAGGGAAGCGGGATGGATGTATGATGTTGGGGTTTGAGGATGAGGACGAGATGAACATGGGCATGAGGATTGGAGATGGATCTTGCTTGGAGTTTGAGTTTACGGATGAAAACGGTTATTTGTTTGTTTATACTATGGTCCTTTGGGTATTCTGAGTATATCTTTAGTGGTGGAATTGAGTACGCTTTGTGTAGATGGCCTAGCGTTGCGAAGCTGTTCACGCGACTGATCAGGTGGAACACGCCAGTCTGCTGTTTTCACCTACACTCCTGAGACAAGCCAGGCCATTCATCAACAACAAAAGCTAGTCTTGTGGTTCATACATCGGAACACACGACTTCGGCAAAGCTAAACGTGTCACGACTTTGACTACGACTATGATTACATAAATTCATTCGTGATGTGCTGACCCTTGAAACCAGATATGTAGAGGGTGGGCATTGCGGTCTATTGACGCTGTTCAGAAGAGCCTGATTGTGCCATCAGATCTGATCTATTCAGTAAAGAGATTGAAATACATGTAGCGTTCGAGTAAAAGGCGCTGCTGAATTGCAGCTTGTTTTTACTTTATTGGTGTCTTGTTCTACGACTTTTGACTCTCATTTGTTTCCGGACCGGTCGATTCCGCCCGCCTGAGATAGCCTCTTCATCTTGTTTCTGCCTTGCTACTTTGGATTTAGGATCCGGATGCGGCAAATTGTTCTTTTCAAGGGCTTTGCTGGGGTGGATGTTATGTATAGCACAGTGCGACCCGGTTCAATCCAATCGTCTGCCTTGAATCATACTTACCGTACCAAATGCACAGCTCTTCCAATGTCCAAACCAGCCGATGAAAAATATGCAATTCATCCTACACGCCCTGCAACGCCGAAAGATGATTTTGCTGGTTTCTCGTGAGCAGCAACAGAACTATGTCACCACATATTGAACTTGCAACAGAACCTACTTGATGCTGTATGCGATTTTTTTCTCTTTGCTATATGCTTGGAAATGGGTATTCTGCACTTGTCTACGCCGCCGCTCCGTAGTGAACCTTGCGGAAGAAATCCATAACACCCGTAAAGACCACCAGAAGGATACCACCACCCTGTGAGCAAACGGTTAGCAAAGGGCGTTGTTTCACACATGCCAAACTAGTCACACAGCCTGGTCAGAGAAACATCGTCTGTACTTACCGGACCCAGACGCAGCACCTTGGGCAAGAAGCCCTTGTACAGCGCACTGAAACCCTCCTCCTTGAAGACGGTGCCGACAGCAGGGAAGGCCCAGTTGTACTTGGGCACGACACCCGGGACTTTGGTGGTGTTCTGGATGCGCGACTTGACGACATCCAGGGGCGTGTTAAGGATAGTACCGACGGTACCACCAACGGTACCCGCCAGGATATCATTGACCATCTGGCCCTTCTTGTCGCTTGCCTTGGGCAGCAGCTGGCGCACCTGGAAAATGCAGCCAAAGTAACCCGCGTTCCACAGAATATGACGCCACAGCGTGCTCTCGAGGCCGTTGTACATGGCCAACACGCCCTCTTTCTTGACCGTCTGGGCGACCACATCCAGCATACCCTTGTACTTGCCGGCCGAGGCCTTGTCTTGCAAGCGAATCTTGACGAGCTCAAAGGGCACGACGACGAAGGATTCGGTGGCACCGGCCGTGGCGCCCGTGAGGACGGACAGACTCTGGTTCATTTGTTCGGCGCCAAAGGCCTTGCGGTAGAACTTGCCCCACTCGTCGTTGGCGGCGAACTTGGTAGCACGCTTGGGGGCTTCCATCAGGATCGGGGCGGTAATACCGCGGTATAGGCGGGAGAATCTGTAGAAAGAATGCGGTCAGTCTGGAGATGTTCTCATCCGACACTGCGGCCAGTTGTTGTCGTTTTCAATCTTGATGCTTTTGTTCACGCGACCTCTTGCTGGAATGGCAGTCTGTACATACCCCTCGTTACGGACAATCTTGGAGAAGCAGTCGAACATGCCATTGTAAGAATCAGCGCCGAGACCTGTACCAGTCTGGAGTTGCCTGTAGTGGGTGTTAGTGTTTGGTGGATTGGGTCGTGCCTCCACAAAGTAGCTTACACTCTGGTCTTGACGACGTCCAGTGGGTACCTAGACGAGGGCATTAGCACTAGCCCCCCGCAAATTGAGATATTGGATGGTTCCTACATCACCAGAATCTAGAAGCAAGCCAAGGAAGGTTAGCAGGCCGATTCATGCTAGAAGCAGTAGGCTTCCCATACCTCAGACACACCGGCGACAGCGCCTGTTGGGAATCTATGTTAGCTTGGCGACACCAGTCATTTATAAAACTCAAGAACGAGGACCAGGCAACCTACCAGCGCCGAACTGGTATATGAAAGGGAGGGGCTTGTCGGTTGACATCTTGACGGCTGCTGCATATGAACAATTAGCTGGGAAGTACTGGAATCGCAGGTTGAGTGGTTGACAGCCAGGGCGACTCACAAGGAGTGGAGAGGCTGGAAAGGAGAGGGATGGCGGTGGTGGTGGTTGTCAGGGTGGACGTGAGGTTGTTGCAAAGAGCGCGGCTACCATAGGCTGCTGAAAATAAGTTATCGGCATGCGAAAATCGGTTTGGCAACTGGAGCAATCCCCCGCAGTCGTGCGTCTGGGTGACCGGGCAGCTGGGGCGCGCCAGAAGCCCAGGCTGCTCGACTGGCCTGGCTGATCAGCGCCAATCCCCCAGGCCAGGCCCCGGGCGCCTGTACCAAGGGCGGCATCGGACCCACGAGCGCGGAAGGGTCCTCGCCAACGCGTTGCCGCTCCCCCGGGTCTGCAGCGCGGCAATTCAGCTCCGAAGTTGTGGTCGTTGCACCTGAAATTCCAGGGCCCGGGAAGAGTGTTTTCCCAGGACGAGAGACTGGATATACATACCTTCACGGTCACTGAACACTTCTTCACCTTCAGCCTTCTTCTAGCATGCAGACAGGCAAAACACCTTGGGCAAATGTATTTTTATTGCGCAGTCACCATTTTCATTCAGTCATTCTACAAGTAATGCAAACACGTGCTTCGGCAACTCCAAGCCTTGTCTCAATACTTAGGTAGGTATCCTCTCTGCAGATCTATGTAACCTCTTCCATACCGCGCACATATTTCTGAATCTTGTTTAGCGTGTTACTACGCTCTCAGATCTATGTGTCCGACCGCTTGTGTAGCAGCAATTTAAGAAGATTCGTCGGTGATGAGCTTGATGACCTTACCAATGGCAATGGTTTGTCCTTGGTCACGCTACAGTAAACGGTTAGCATATGGGAAAGCCATGCCTTGCGCAGAACAGCATTCCAGAAAGTACGTACCAGAGTAAAGCGACCCATCTGTGGGTAGTCCTCGAATCTCTCAATACACACAGCCCCCGAAGCGCCTGTGACCTCCATACGGGCGATAATGCTGTCGCCACGCTTGGCATGCGTTGGTGGCCTCTTACTCTTGCGGCCAGTACCCTTTTGCAGCGAGTGCAAGAGTGAGGCAAATGTGACCTCCTCGATCGCTGCGTGCACGTGCAGCACACAGTTGAAACCAGCTGAAAGAATTGACTTGAGATCGAGAATGCGAATCTGGGCCTCGAACTGCCTGACACAGTGGACCAGGCGCTTGGGCGAACAGAGCACGAAACCAGGCAGAATGTCTTCTTCCTCGATACCGCGCAAGCGAATCCGCACTTGGTCGCCGCATTGTGCAATCGAAACCTCGTCTTCTTGCTCGCCGTAAACGGCGGCCGCATCGATCTTGGCCTTGTTAGGCATCATGATAAGGCCCATGCCCTTCTTGACAACACCAGCCTCGACACGTCCTTCGACCATGGTACCCATGTCGCGGTACTTGCCAGCAATGGCCATCATAAAGGGCGCGTTCAGCTTGCGCTCCAGAGCTTGCATGTTGTCCAGGTACTCCAGCAGCGAAGGGCCGCTATACCAAGGGCACACTCCATCGGGTATTCTGTCCTTGATGCCCATAAGAGATTGTGCGGCGATAGGCATGAAGAAAACATCCGTCTTGAGATTGTAGCCCGTCCCCTTGAGGAACTGCGAAAGCTTGGTTGTGCATTCCTTGAAACGGTCCTCGGACCACTCAACTGTGGCGTCGTCCATCTTGTTGATAACGACAATCAGCTTGTTGACACCCTGGGTCTTGGCCAACATGGCGTGCTCGCGGGTTTGACCGCCCTTCTCGAACCCAGTCTCGTACTCTCCCTTTCGTGCACTAGATGAAAATAGTCAGTTGGCGCTCTTATGCATGTGTCACACACTACTACACGTTTGCCACGGAAATTGCTTACCTGATAACGAGAATACCAACATCCGCCTGTGAGGCACCTCCAATCATGTTTGGCACATAGGTCTTGTGCCCAGGGGCATCCAGGATACTGTACTTGCGCTTCTCGGTCTCGAAGAAGCCACGACCGACCTCAACAGTTTTGCCCTTGGAACGCTCCTCGTTGGTAAGATCCAGCGCCCATGACAGGTACCAGGTCTCACGACCCATGTCCTTGGCTTCTTTCTTGTACTTGTCGAGTGTTCTTTGATCAACCATGCCTGTCTGCACAAGGATAGCCCCGCCAAGCGTCGACTTGCCGGCATCGACGTGGCCGATGAAGATGATGTTGACGTGCTCCTTGCCGTACATTTCCTTCAGGGTGTCCTCATCGACATCGGCGCTCTGCTCCGCCTCAACAGCAGCAGCATCGCGAGACGCGGCCTTGGCAGCGGCTGTTCGTGAAGGACTGCTGCGTCCAGATGAAGGAGTGGGAGATGTCTTGCCAGACTCGCCAGTGGTCTTCTCGCCAGTCTTCTCGATAGCTTTCGTGGCAGCAACCTTGGCACCCTCCTCTGGCTTGGCGTCGTCCTTGTTGTCCGCAGCCTCGTCCTTGGTTGGGGTTTCCTTGGCAGGTACCGTACCACCAATCG